CTGCAGACCAGCTGCTCCCTGGAGCCCAGATGCACCCCAGAGGGCAGGAGGACGGCTCTGTCCCACCAGTCTGTCCAGGGGACGCCTAGCAAGGGGGGATGGATGCGCTGCTCAGCGGCAGGTGGCAGCACTGGCCTGTCACACACACCCCACAGAGGTGGCCTTGGGGGTGGCTGAGGGGACAGGGTGGTGGCTGTGTACCCAAACCTGCCACAGGGACCAGTCTCCACTTCCTCCTTGCCAAGGCAGACCTGCCCTCTTCCAGCAAAAGTTTTCCACAGCCACTTATCTTTTAAAGCATCTTTTTTTTTTGTCTCTTTCCACAAGAACAGAGCTGGATCAGCATCCCAGACTCATCACCCTCCTAACTGCCCACAGCAACATTAAGTGACCCCGTGCACCATCCCCAGGACTTGCATGTACCCCCATGAAACATGTAATTTTGCCCCATAATGCTTTTATGCTTGGGTTTTTTTCTTCCTGCAGGACTCAAAGGCCCCCACAGCTCCTCTGTTATAGCGGGGTGACACACAAGGGATAGGGAAGAGATTGATTAAACTGGGAATGATCTTGTTTCTGAGGAAATGACACCATACAAGGTGCAATAGAAGCACATCCTTTGCCACAAAGATGTTGTGGCAGCCCCAGGTCTGAAATGAGACCAGAGACACGGGCAGTAACTAAGACCTTCCAGAGCAATGAAACACACTGTGATCTGTCCCAGGAATCCCTGCTGGCACTCGGGGATTGTCGGCCAGGGCTAGACAAGGCAGAGCCAGGGCATCTCCCTGGGCTGCCCTGCAGTAATTAAGGGGAGGGGAGGATTCACACCGGTGCAGGCAACCCTGCAATAACACAGGAGGGGCACAGCTCATTACCTCTGCAATAACAAATACGAGAGGCTCAGCTACCTGGGCAAACCTGAAACAACAAACAAATGGGATGAGGCAGTGAGGATTCAGTCAGGAAAACAGCATGGGGTGCCCAGTCCCCTGGACTTGCGGTGTAATGGGTGTTCACACGGTCAGGAGCTTCAGCCCCTGCAAACACCTTATGTCGCTGCTTCCTGCAAGCTGCCACCAAGCCAGAGCGGTCTGGGAGCTGCACACCAATGTGGAGCCCTTTTGGCAAGGGGAGATGGGAGCCACAGGAGCCCAGTGCTCTGCAGAGGGAGCCCAGCTCCCAGCCCAAGTCCAGCTCTCCTTGCAGGGCTGAAAAAAACACAGTGGGAACTGACCCACTTTGCCGTCCTCAGCACACATTGGTCTCTGGTGAAGTAGTGATACAACAAGAGATGGTTGTGCTGGGACTTTTCTGTCTGTCTGGGTCTTTAGTTTGGGTTTTTATTTCCTAGTGAGAACTCCATGGATGCCTTGGAGTGATCCCTTTCCTCCACACTCTGATGTTCTTTACAGCCTAATTTCCTTCAGCAGCAAGGCTGAAGCAGTCTTTGCTCACAAACCCAACTATCTTTTCCCTAATTTGATATTAAAAAGCCAGTTTTGACAAACCGAAGGGCAGAGGTCTCTGACGCACAAACTCCTGACAAGCTCTGGGAAGCTGGTGAGGGACCTTCCTGGTGCCAACAGGAGAGGGAAAGTCAGCACCCACAGAGTTTCCCCTTCATCTCCTCACTGTGTCATCCCCAGTGATCTGCAGCTGCCCATTGCAGCCAGGACCAGACACCACGTCAGCATCTCCACAGTCCTTGCATCAGCCTGCTCAGCCTGCAGGAGTAACACCCAATTTCCCCCAATGAGCCTTAACTGTGCCTGTCTGAGACTCAGGCAGGAAGGCCCTACTCACCATGTCCCCAGATGGGGGACAGCGGGAAGCAGGAGGTGGGTGGCTCTCAGATCTCCATCCCTTCTCCCCACTCCCTCCCCACTGAGGATGTGACTTCTCAGCAGAGGTCCCAGGCTTACTGACCACACAGAAGAATGAGATTGCTAGAATGACACTGGAGTCATTTCCAACCCTTTCACCCTGCCCCTACAGAAGGGACATGGAGTAGCAAAATAACAGGCACAATTTCTGGGAAACCACAAATTGCTCCTCTCTGGCTGCCCACTGGCCTCACCAGATACCGCCCAACGTAGACCGTGCACCTGGGCCAAAACCAGCCTGGGTGCTTCAGATGTTTTGGACATGCAAGAGATCCCCACAGGGTGGGTGTGTGTGTTCACATGTGGGTGCGGGGTGTGTGGGAGCACCGCCTTCCTGCCTGCTGACCTTACAGAGCGGAGCAGGGAGCTTGTTCCAAATTGCTAGGAGGCTTGAATTTTCATATTTTCATCAGTTTCTGGCAGGAAGGTAGGAAAAGTATCTATTGACTGCTGCTGCTAATGATCCATGCCAGTTACATCCACAGCTCACTGCTAGAGGACTTGCTGTCCTGTTCAAAAATTCCCCAAAAAGCCACATGCACCTAAGAAGGACAAGCATAACCATAGCACGACCTTGCTAAACAGCCCTCTTGATGATGATGATATTATTATTTACAGCATGAGCACTAACATAATACACCACTTAAGCAGGAAGGTGTTGGAGAAAGACTTAACAGGGATCTCAGTTAAACCTCTAGCACAGGAACAACAGCAAATGTCACTGGTGGAGACCTCGAGAAGTTGCCCGGTCCTTCCTCTGCCCCCAAACTGGACCATCTCTGTTCAGAGGCGCTCACTGCAAGCTGGAAATTAAGGCTTATGTTACCCAGGGCTGAAGAATTAATCAGAGCCAGATCCAGACACTCCCTCCACGCTTCACCCATAACATCAGCTCCCTGGCACAAACAGCTGCAGACTCCTATCTATGGTGGCACCACCATCTGCCCAGCCCCATGCCAGCTTCTTATGTCTTCCTGCTGGACTTCACATGCACACACAGGCAGCAGCAGCAATTGCTGAAATCAATGTTTGTCTTCCTTTCTGTACCTGCTGGAGGGATGGGATCCTCCCATTTCTCCTTCCTCCCCCATCCTTTATGGTACTGGTTCTTGCTGGGCAATGTAAAGCAGCTCCCCTGGGCTCCCTGCTGCTGGGAGAGGAGGAACGTCAGTGCTGTCCCTGAAAACAGCTTCTGCACTTGCAAATCATGTTAGAGATGTACTTATTTTTCTTCACATTGGGTCTTACAGAGGAAATCTGTGCTCAGGTTCCTGGCTGGTACAAACCCACATCGTGCATTTTCCCCAGCTGCCCTCCCCACTTGTCCCCACTCCAGAGGAGGGGATGTGCGTGACCTCCCGAAACCTCCTGGGATTGGCAGGCAAGTTCCTCCCCAGCCTGGACTTGCACCTGTGACCATGATGGGAAAATACAAATCTTTCCCTCCTAGTCACCCCACAGGGACACCCCCTGTGTTTGCATTCTTGAAATGCAGGCCGGGAAGGGATAATGCAGGCAGGGAAGGGAAAATGCAGGCAGGGAAGGGAAAATGTGGGCAGGAAAAGGATGCAGAGCAAGGAGGGTCATCTCATCTTGCACCCTTGGGCAGCTGGAGAGCACAACTGAGCAAAAGCGTTCCTGATCTCCCTGGAGGCCATCGGGATCAGCCCGGACAGAAGGGAGCTTTCACTGCCCTAATGAAGAACAGCTCGTTTAGGTTCCCATTGCAGGCACAACCCCCAGCGTGGTGGTGAACAAGCCCCAGCCCTGTGCACTGCCCCGTAGGGGCAGGCAGTGGAGCCAGCTCAGGCGCTGTGCCCAGGGCCGGGGTCATCGCTGGGGACCACCGCCCCGGTGAAGTCAGGCGGTGATCTCAGGCGGCCGCCCAGCCCAAGGCCGTCTGGCATCCACCAGAGGAAGAGCAGCCAGGGCTGGGGCTGCAGGCTCTGGCCAGTTCCTCTGCTAGCCCAGGGCGTTGGCTGCCAGAGACCCAGCTGTAATGTGCCTTGGACTTTTGACGAACTTTTGTGCTTTGGTGGGGACTCGGCGGCAGGCCGGCGCGGCTCGCCTGGCA